ACATTTCTCAGTCCAGAGACAGTGTGATAGATCACAGTCTGACAATACAGGCAAATGATCCAGGATAGGCTGCACAGTCATAATGACAGGATCTGACCTCGGAGGAGGGCGAAAAAAAATTGTTGGGGGTAAATGTATTCATTTGCTGGCCTGAAAAAAATGAAACGAGGTAATTACTTCCATGAATTGAAAAATAGGACAAAGAGAGAACAGCCGTCAAGCCCGGATGGAGAAATGACACATACCGTGTTTTTTCTAAAGGCCCTACAGAAACAACCAAACAATATCAGGTGATTTGTGGACGCATATCAAAGCAGCTCCTCCGTCAACCACGTCGACAGTCTGTGAAAGAAAGGCTGAAATGTATTTTCCCAAAAAGACGTAAATCTGTAAAAATCTCCAGATTTCCTGCCTTTATGTTGGACACAATTACGGTCCGGTGAACAATGCACCGCACGGTTTATTCCCAAATTCAGTCTTTTCGGTTCAGTGTAGCTGCATGGGTTCACACCCATCAATAGAAGCTGTAGTTTAATCTGAATAGACACGATTTGGTTGACATAAAAAAGTAAATCTATAATTGTAACAAAGACGCGCCTTTTACTAAGAATTATAATCAATTCAATTGAATACATTTTCATTGTTTTCATTTAAATTAAATCGATTCAAAGCAAACTGTGCGCTCGCAGTTGTTTTACAGTAAAAGGAAAATAACATGCGGTGGCTGTTTTTAATAACATTGGCAGTAAGGGGGGGGGGCTTCCTGTCTTCATCAGGCAGGGAACTATTCATGGAAGCACTCTTCATGGCAGTACAAATAACAGGCCCACACATAACTTAGACCCAAAATACCCTATCATCTCATCCTCTGTCTGGAATCAGCTACACCAACAGAGGAGGCCTCCTATCAGCTCAGGGCCTTCGCTTCAGGACGAGAGCGTCGACCAGGAGAGATAAAGCAGAAGTGTTTACATCATTCAGTAAGGGAGGATGGGACCAAGTCATTACTTTGCAAGTCACAAGAAAGTCTCAAGTCTTTGCACTCAAGTCCGAGTCAAGTCTCAAGTCAAGACAGGCAGAGTCCGAGTCGAGTTCCAAGTCAAGACTGAAAAGTGTCAAGTCAAGTCCCAAGTCCTGCTGTTTCTGTTTCGAGTCCTTTCTGATCCTTTTCAAACAAAATAACAATATATTTACACAGATCACTTTGGGTTTTGGAAAAAGTCTCGAGTCATGTCGAGTCAAAGGGCTCGAGTCCAAGTGAAGTCACGAGTCATTGATGTTAAAGTCCAAGTCGAGTACCAAGTCTCTTTACATTTTGTCAAGTCGAGTCTAAAGTCATCAAATTGATGACTCGAGCCTGACTCGAGTCCAGGTCAAGCGACTCGAGTCCACACCTCTGTTCAGTGCCACATCAAAGATATACCTGTCTGTGTGTGGCGTTCCTGTACTTCCTCCTGACATGTTAGTTGTGCAGGAACTCGTTACAGCCCATCGGTCAACATGGGATCACGGTGTCACGTCAGGTGACTTCCGATTTGGCCTAAGGCACCTCGGCACACAAAGAGTGCAGACAGTGGAGCCACCAAACTCCTGTACCGATGAGATTCTGCGCCGCTGAACAAAAGCACACTCATCCCGTAAATCTGTCATCTGCGTACGCTGGTGAATCACTCGCTGTCCTTGCAGAGGAATTCACACAACTTTAATGGTTTTTGTATCTGAGCCTCGGGCAAACTTGACAACTCACTCGAAAACAGATGAGGCCTGAAGCCTGTATGACTAAAGTGATACGTGTTAGCGCTTTAAAAGAAAAGGACGGCGGGATACAAATCCGCGTAAGCACAGGTCACCACTTCAAAGCAGGAATATCATTTTCCACCCTTAAATCTGGAGATGTAAGACAATGGCGTTGACACGTCGCGGCCACAGGGGACAGTAATCCTGCACGTCGTGGTACAATAACGAATGTGACTCAGTGGCATCTGATTGCAGAAGGTTTTTTTCGGGCAAACTATGTCAGAGATGCTGTGTACGGAATTATTATTGAATGCATCTTTTAAAAAAAAAAAAAATTAAATCCCTATGATCTTCATTTATACACACGGAGCTCTGACGCCTCGCTAATGGAAATGTCTTGAAAGGGTTTCTACCTGAATAATGCAGTTCTCTAAATTCAATGCGATTAAATTCAATTTATATTTCCGTAGTATTGATCCATCATTCATTTGTCATTTTCTGCTTTATTTTGTTCAGGGTCGGAAGAAGTGCTCAAGCCAATCCCAGCAGTCGTTGGGCAAGAGACAGGTACGTTTAAAAACTGCTCGAGCCAGTAAACTCAACCACCAGCTTCTCAGGTATAGCAATGTTGCAAAGGCATCCGTTTTTTTAAATTTTCGCTCTCATTTTTTGCAATCTGCTCGGAGCAGCAACAGCATCGCAGTGCGCCCCCTACCACTCCCCACACTATATATGTGTATATATATATATGTGTATATATGTATATATATGTATATGTATATATTTATGTATATATGTATGTATATGTATGTGTATATATATAATGTATGTATATATATGTATATGTATATATGTATGTATATATGTATATGTATATATGTATATATATACTGTATGTATATATGTATACAGTATATATACTGTATGTATATGTATGTGTATATATATATAATGTATGTATATATATATATGTATATATGTATACAGTATATATACTGTATGTATATGTATGTGTATATATATATAATGTATGTATATATATATATGTATATATGTATACAGTATATATACTGTATGTATATGTATGTGTATATATATATACCGTATGTATATATATATGTATATATATATCTATATATATCTATATATACTGTGTTAAGATAAAAGACGAAAGTACAGTAATATTATGCTATATCATTTCGATGTAATAACATGTGACGGTGAGGTGTAGTCACCGACCCGTGACTCCACTTTACCTCAAATGATGAATAGCTGCAGCCGGTGATATCACAGCGTACTGGAAGTACCATTATTCACGCCACTGTCTTCCAGTATCGCTGCATCACATCAGCAGATCAGTGTGAGAACGTTGTATTGATCATCCACCGGCACTAACTGTCTGTCATTCCCACTGTCTGTCTACTGCACAGAAGCTCACCGG